TCCCACCCCCCCGCGTGCGCGCCGCCAAAGAGAGCTGGACTCGGCTCTCTGTCCGAGCGCCCCTGGGCCGCCCCGCCAGTCGCTGTGCGCCGCGCGCGAGCGCGCAGCCGCGGCCGCGAGCGCACGCCCGGGCCCGCCCCCCGACGCGGTGTTGGGCGCGCGCCCGGCGTCTCTCGGGCCGGACGAAAGGGGGGGATTGGGAAAGGGGGGGGACGAAATTTGCTGCATGCAGCTGGTTTCGGCTCCGCCGCTGGGGCCCGTTCCTCGATGCATGGCTGCCTCCGGCGCCGGGAGGCGCCCGGAAAATCAGACACGTGAGCTGATTGTCAAACCCCCTTTTTGCTATCCACCCCTTTCGCCCGACCCGAGTCTCGAGGCCGAAGTCGGGCGTGTCCCTCTGCAGGAGGGGGTGTTCGAAAATAGTCCGAGAATCGTCTGGGGGCGATTTTTCGACTGTTTCTGCCCATTTGGGGGGCATTTGTTTCTGGATGTTTGGTTTTTCGCCCAAGATCCCCCTGCAGGGGGACGCGCCCGACTTAACTCAAGGCCTCCCAGACGGGGTCTGAGTGATCGTTTTTTAATTCATTGTTTTGCCGATCGGCGCGGGCCCCGAAACCCCACCCCGCCCCCATGGAGTAGATCTTGGCGTTTTTTGGCGCCTGTTTCAGGCAGGTGGGGTCCCCCCCAATCGGCCGCACGGTTCCAAGAAGTCGCATTAAGCAGAGGTCCGGAGCCAGCAACCCTTTACCCCCCCTTTCCGCCCAATGTCGAAACGCCGACTAAAAAAACGCTCACTAGATGGGGTCGCCGGATCGCGCCGCATCGCCGATGCATCGTCGATGCGGCTCGATGTGGAGCCCCGATTTGTTCCACGCCGACGGCGCCGATGCATCGCCGCCGCCGCCGATACATCGCCGATGCGTTGCCGATGCATCGCCGATGCATCGTCGATGTATCGGCGATGCGGCGCGATTCTTCGACCTCATCTACTGTGTAAGCCTGGCGCTTCCCTCTACAGGGGAGGACATCCAAGAGTAGTCAAAAGAGAGGCTGGGGACGAGTCGTCTATCATTCTGGGACTGCTGGGGAGCAATTGCGGACAATGCTGCATCCTTCGCTCAACGTCCGCCTGTAGGGGGACCTGCCCGACCCAAATCTGTTCGGACCCCATCGAGGAGGCTTTTGGACGCGCTGCTGGGCGCGCGTCCGGCGTCAGAGCCGCCCGTGGCGGGCGGCAGTCTTGCTTTGCCGCGCCGCCGCGTGCCCCGCCCTGCGTGCGCCCCCACGCCCCACTGCTCCGAGGGGAGCGGGGGAGGAGATGCATCGAGGAGCATCGAGGAGCATCGAGGAGGAGGAGGCTCGAGGAGGAGGAGGGGGGAGGAGGAGAAGGAGGGGGAGGAGGAGTAGGATCGAGGAGGCGGAGGAACATGAGGAGAGTCGAGGAGGAGGAGGAGAGAAAGTTCGTCTATCCGTTCCCCTCATGCTCCTCCCTTCTTCCATGCATCCCGTCGATCCATCCTATTTGCCTCCCTCCATCCCTCCTTCCCTCCTATCCTGTCGCCTTTCCCTCCTTTCCTTCATCCTTCTGTTCCCCCCCCTCCCCTTCTTTCTCCTCCTGCTCTGATCCTTCCATTCTCCCCTTCCTGTTGCGGATCCATGCGATCCCGGGCCATGGCCCCATGAGGGGGCCTCTCCTGCAACGGCGTGTGGCCTTCTTTTCCGGATCCGCCCGCGCGTGGGAAGGCACGCACCGCATTCGTTTGCGGCATGACCCGTCGGGCGGTCCACAGACAGAATCGTCTTCCTCCTCCTCCTCCTCGTTCTCCTCCTCCCTCCTCCTCCTCCTCCTCCTCCTCCTCCTCCTCCTCCTCCTCCTCCTCCTCCTCCTCCTCCCCCCTCCTCCTCCTCCTCCGCCTCCTCCTCCTCCTCCTCCTCTTCCTCCTCCTCCTCCTCCTCCTCCTCCTCCTCCTCCTCTTCCTCCTCCCTCCTCGGGTCGCCTACGGCCCCAGGGGAAGCCTTGCACCCGGACCCCGTCTTGCGCGTCGCGACAAACATCACGGCGGGAGTCGTTTCGCCACGTCTGGCCCCCAGGGGGCCTTACCGAGCCTCGGGACCGTCGAAAACGGCCCAGGAGGAAAAAAAACAGTCCAGGGGGAGGGGCCCAGACCTCTCGGGGTCGACGTCGTCAAAGAATCACGACGAAAGAATCACGACGAAAGAATCACGACGAAAGAATCACGACGACGAAAGAATCACGACGAAAGAATCACGACGAAAGAATCACGATGTTTGGTCTCTGGCGTTCTTCGTCCACGCAGGCCGTTCCCTATCCAGCGTCCCTCATTTCAGCAGCCCCGACTGTATGCTCAATCCGCTGTTCGCTCTTCCTTCCGTCGGAGCTGGAGTGCCGCGCGGAGGTTCCAATGTTCCCGAACGCTAGCCGCAGCAGCACGCTCGTTGGAAGGCCGTTCGTGGGGCTACGTCTCCCGCGGGAAAACCGCTCGTTTGCAAAGTTCGTGGAGTGGCAGGCTGACCGCAGCGGACCGCAAGGGATTGGGACGTCCCCCTCTCCCTCGCCATCATCGGACTCATATAGCCTTGGGACTCTTACCCATGCTCTTGCTGCTCCTCCTCCTCTTCCTCCCCCTACTCCATCTCGTCTCGTCCCCGTCCCCCTTTTGCTTCCCATTCCCGTAATTTTCCATCTTCTCTCCCTCGTCCCGCTATCCTCCACCCCGGAAGCGGAACGAGCTTTCCAGGCCTACTCCAAGCCGGGGGAGAAGTTGATCGTCTACATGGATGTGAATTCGACGATCGTGTGCGCAGCACCGCCGCGCCCGCCGTCGTCATCGATGTCGTCGCAGTCGTCGACGCGGTCGTCCATGTCGTCGATGTCGATGTCGTCTTCGATGCCGACACCTTCGCCGTCGTCGATGTCGGTGTCGTCGATGTCGATGTCGTCGATGTTCATGTCGATGTCGATGTCGTCGATATCGATGTCGTCGTCCACGCGGCCGTCGAGGAGAGGGAGGACGAGGAGGAGAAGGAAGGTGGGGGGGGAGAGGTGGAGGAGGGGGGATTCGTTCTCATCGTCGAGGAAACGCAAGCATGGGCCTAAGGTGCTTGGCGTAGCGACGGGTCCCGCTTCCATGGAGCATCGGCGCGGCCCGTCGCCAAGTTTGACGGCATTGGTTTCATGCTTCGGTGCCTATGGTCCCCGATCTGTGGATTTGGTGCCCACGCGCCAGATCCACGGATCTGTAATCCATGTCAGCGTGCAAGCGATGTTACGGTAGATTCATGCGGCGTTGGCGCGCCGGCGACGCTTGCGAAGGCGTTGACGGTTGAAGTCTGCGACGCGGAAACACCGATGGACACGTTATTGCCATTGGACTTGATTGAATGTTGAGCGATCGGGGCCGCGATCGATTCAAGGTTGAACGATCGATGCGGTGTCAGAAATCATTGCGCGCGCCGACGCCGCACGAATTTGCCATCATCTGCTCCCCCATACACTCCCACCCTCCTCTGCCACGGGTGCTTCCCCCAGGCAGCGCCCTCGAACCCCCGGCGTTTACCGAGCCTCTCTCATCCCCTTCTGATGGGCCGATCTTCCAGCACCGCTACCATATGTAGGAGAGGAAGGAAGAGGAGGAGGAAGAGGAGGAGGAAGAGGAGGAGGAAGAGGAGGAGAAGGTGGAGGAAGAGGAGGAGGAGGAGGAGGCCACGAATTCGTCGTCCCAGGCCATCTTGCGACGGCCCGACATGGGCGGGCGAGCAAGCTTGTCGTCTTGGACCCTCCCTCCTCTGCTGTGGACGGGCCCGGAGGGGGAGGAGGAGCCGTCGGGTGGGAGGCTCTCGGCTCCTACGCTTAAGTCGGGCCTGTCCCCCTACAGGGGGACTTTCGACGAAAAACAAAAATACCACCCAAATAGCCAAAAGATATTCAAAAAATATCCCCATACTATTTTTTACAGTTTTTTGACCTTTTGGGTTTTTGGGGGGGTGTTTTATTTTTCGTCGAAAATCCCCGTGTAGGGGGGCACGCCCGACATAATCCTATGCTCGCCCTCCCGGAGCACGAGCTTGGGGCAAAAGGGCCCTCGAGCTTCGAGCCTCCACAGCGCAGTGCCTTCATGCCTCCATGGTATTGCGAAGGCCTTACGGCCAGTGCCGCCGACCCTGAAGGGCGACGACGACGACGGCGACGGCGACGGCGACGGCGACGGCGACGACGAGCGCTCTCGGGGGTCTCTTGAGGGTAGTTTTGGGGCCTCTTCGGAGGCTCTTGGGGCCTCTTGGGAGCTTCGTGAGGGCCTCTTGGGGCTTCCTGGGGGTCTCTTGGGGGCCTCTTGGGGCCTCTTGGGGGGCTTCTTGGGGGCCTCTGGGGCCGCCCGGGCGCCTCTCAGGGCGAGGGCTCGAAATGTCCGTTCGGCTCCCCTGTCTGGGCTCCCTCTTGGAGCCGTCTTCGGGGCCTCTTGGGCCGTCTTGGAGGCCTCTTGGGTCGTCTTGGGGCCATCTTGGGTCGTCTTGGGGCCTCTTGGGGGGCTTCTTGGGGGCCTCTGGGGGCCGCCCGGGCGCCTCTCAGGGCGAGGGCTCGAAATGTCCGTTCGGCTCCCCTGTCTGGGCTCCCTCTTGGAGCCGTCTTCGGGGCCTCTTGGGCCGTCTTGGAGGCCTCTTGGGTCGTCTTGGGGCCATCTTGGGTCGTCTTGGGGCCGTCTTGGGGGCCTCTTGGCCCGTCTTGGGGCGATATTGGAGCCTCTTGGGCCGTCTTGAAGCGTCGGGAAGCCGAAAACGCGAGCACTCCAAAAACCGTCAAAAAAACAAAGGGAATGCTATGAATTTTGCACCTTGGGGCCTTCTTGGGAGTGCTTTTGGAGGCCTCTTGGGACGTTCTCGAAACCTCTTGAGCCGTCTGGAGGCGACTTTGGCGTGTTCGACCGATAGTTCGGCGATGCGGGGCCCTCGAGGACCGTCTTGGAGCCTCTTGGGGCACTTTTGCCGCGTCTTGGGGGTTTTCTGGGCCCCAGAACCGCCCGGGGGGGAGGCGTATCTGGGTGGCGACCCCCCCCGGCGACCCCCCCCCCCCCCCCGGTGGGGAAGGGATCAAAGGGAAGGGGCTTCCCTTCGACTCAGCGACAACGTTACTCAATGTCGCTTTGGCTAGCGCGCTTCAGGATGAGGGCCCATGGAAAAGAGACTGGGGACGACGGAGACGACGAGGAGACGACGGAGACGGAGGCGACGACGGAGACGACGAGGAGACGACGAGGAGACGACGGAGATTACACGACAACGACGACGACGACGGCGACCAACGGAAGAGCGTCTTCCACCCGCCGAGGGTCGGCGGATTTTCTGCGCAACCCCTCCTCTCTCTCTCTCTCTCTCTCTCTCTCTCTCGGAGGAGGAGGAGGAGGAGGAGGACGACGAGGGAGGAGGACGAGGGAGGAGGACGAGGGAGCAGGAGAAGCAGAAGGAGGAGGCCTCCGAGGTCGAGGTTCGCGACGAGGAGCAGGCGAGGCCAGAGTGACGCGGAGAACGACGAGTCGGGAGCCTTGAGACGGGGGGCAGTGCAGACGGGGGACAGCCAGGGCACCAGATCCTGCAGGATCCTGCAGAGACCCCCTCTGACTGACCCGGGTTAGCGTGCCGCTCGTGGCCGCGAGGCGGCCGCGCATATCGGCTGACCCGAGTTTGCGAGGACCTGCGTTGCAGTTTTTGTTCCTGCATTGCAGTTGTTTGATTTCCTGCTGACCCGGGTCTGGAGTGACCCGGGTCACAAGATCCCCGAACGAGACGAGGAAGGATCGAGGTCGAAGTGCTCAAATGCTTGTTTGTTTTTGTCGGGCCTCGGAGGACCTCGGGCGACCTCTGGGGCCTTCTGGGGGCACAGCCAAGCGCAGGGCATGTCCCCTGCAGCAAGCGCACGTACATGCGCACGGTGTTCCCGCCTGCCACGTTTCATGATCTTCCGTCCCCCTCTCCTCGTTTCCCTGCACTTCCATCCCAGTTCGATCCTCCTTTGTCCCCTTCCGTGGGAAGCCCTATTTTTCCTCCCCGTGCCTTCCGACATCTTTCGGTAGCTTCACAAGGCTTCCGGAAGGCTCCGAGCTATTATCTGAAGGTCTCTGGAAGCTCCTGGAAGCATGCGAAAACACATGCAAAAGACCTCCGACGGTTTCCGATTGTTTCTGAAAGCGCTTGGAGGTTTCTCAAAGCCCCGTCCTTACCATCCTGATGCGGGGACTTCGAGTGTGACGGCGCATTCCGTTGGTCATTTTGCACAATCCGGCCCGTTGAGCTGGGACAGGGCATATATTTTGTGTCGCATTATTGCTGCCATTTTGAAGTTCTCGCCTCCTCCTCCTCCTCCTCCGCCTCCTCCTCCTCCTCCTCCTCCTCCTCCTCCTCCCTTCTCCTCCTCCTCCTCCTCCTCCTTCTCCTCCTCCCTTCTCCTCCTCCTCCTTCTCCTCCTCCCTTCTCCTCCTCCTCCTCCTCCCTCCTCCCCCTCCTCCTCCTCCTCCTCCTCCTCCTCCTCCCCCTCCTCCTCCTCCTCCTCCTCCTCCCTCCTCCTCCTCCTCCTCCTCCTCCTCCTCCTCCTCCTCCTCCTCCTCCTCCTCCTCCTCCTCCTCCTCCTCCTCCTCCTCCTCCTCCTCCTCCTCCTCCTCCTCCTCCTCCTCCTCCTCTCTTCCCTCCCGCTTTCTCCCCCCCCCTTCCTCACAGACGGCCGCCAGCGCAGTCGCCCTGCCGCCAGCAGGGAGGCGAGGGATGGGGAGGAGCTGGCGGGAGGGACGGGAGGAGGGGTGATGAGGAGGAGCTCCTCCTCCTCCTCCTCCTCCTCCTCCTCCTCCTCCCTCCTCCTCCTCCTCCTCCTCCTCCCCCCCTCCTCCTCCTCCTCCTCCTCCTCCTCTCCTCCTCCTCCTCCTCCTCCTCCTCCTCCTCCTCCTCCTCCTCCTCCTCCTCCCCGCGCCCCCCCCCGAGGTGCAACGACTCGGTGCAGAGCAAGGACCTCCCGGGCCGCAGGGGGCCCTGCGCGGCCCCCCCCCCGCGCGGGCGGGCCGCGCCTTGGCGGGGCCAGGGCCGAGCGCACCGCCGGGCGGGCCGAGACGAGCTCGGGCGGCGGGGGGAGGGGGGGCGCTTGGGGGGTCGCTCCTCCTTCTCCTCCTCCTCCTCCGCCTCCTCCTCTCCTCCTCCTCCTCCTCCTCCTCCTCCTCTCCTCCTCCTCCTCCTCCTCCTCCTCCTCCTCCTCCTCCAGGGTGCCCAGGGTGGCCTGGGCTGCGATGCTTCTGCGAGCGCGTGGCGTTCCCACACCAAACAGCAAGGAACGTCCTGGGGTCTCGGGGTGGGGTTTCTCGTGGAAGGTTTCTTGTGGTCGAGCTCCTGCTCTGCATGTGGGGTGAAGAAAATCAGAGCCCCGAATCATCAGGGGTAACTCGGGTCAGGGCTAACTCGGGTTGGTTTTTCGGGATCCCGAACCCGACTTACCCCGGACCCGGGTTACCCCAGATAACTCGGGCGTCCAGAGCCCCGAGCCCCTACGCTGGTCAACCTAGTTCGAAAAACGATAACGTGGCCCTCCAAGGCCCTTGCATCCTTACCGCGCATCTTTATGATACGGGTTGACTGTAGGATCGTGTCCTGTCGACGTGGCGCGACGCCTCAGGCAATTCTCGGACGAGGAGAAGTCGCTCCAGAGCCCTTGAGCGTTCCGGAGCGATGTGAAGTGGCCGCGGCGCCTGACACATCCTCCAAACCCGCCAGTTCTCAGAGAGTCTCGACTTCTTTTGTGCGCTCCGATTTGACTTCCATCCTGCCTTCGTCTCAGACTCCAGCGCGGGCGTAAACGGTTGAACGCCGCCAGCGGCCAGGAATCGGCCAACATCGAAAGATCTGCACAATCGGAAGGCCGCGATCGTCCAAGGTTGAACGGCACACGCCGTGTTAGAAACCAGCGCCGACCTCGACACGATGCGAACCCGCCCCAAGGCTCCATCCCAGGGCTCTCTTTGTGTGGTCGGGCCGTTGGATCCAGTTCAGGGGGGTGTCAAACAGGGTGCGTTGGATTGTTGGCGGACGTAAACGTGAGAGCGCGGAGGGGCGGGTGGGGGGCAAGGGCGGGTAGCCAACATGCGCCTCGGCGTGTCGTTGGCATGCGACGCCAGGGCCCCCAGGGAGTATCGAACATGGGGCTGGCGGATCCCTCACAGGAAAATTCAGCGTGCGAAGGGGTTTTGTGTCGAGCATGCTTCTGGCAAGTGTGCGTTTGGCACGTGGTCTCACGCATGTGGGGGCCAAGCGACCGCCGCGCAGACCTCACACGGGAAGCTCCGTGCGAGAAGGGGTGGTGGTGTCTAACATTCGTACGGCAGGCGCGCATTTGACATGTAGTTTCCCACGTGTGATTAGGCACATGGCGCGGAGGGCGTGTTGTCAGAGATGCATCTGGCGCACCTGGCGATCATTTTCACGCGTGCAGGCGATAGGAGGGGGTGTCAAACGTAATCACGGCCGGCGGGTACTTCACACGTGCAACCACGTGCGTGGCAGGGGTGGGGTCGAACCTTCGTTTGGCCTCGTGTGCATTTGACACGTGTTCACGCTTGTAACCTGGCGCCGGTGAGGGGTGCTCCAACATGCTACTGGCGGAGTCCGCATGCGTAAAGGAGCACGTGCACAGTTTCACAGTTTCACACGGGCACATGCGTCGCGGAGAGGGTGTTGTCGAACATGCGTCTGGCACGTGTGCATGTGGCACGTGTTTTCATGTGGATGCATGTAGGCGCTCAGGTAGGCGTCGAACATGTGGCTGGCGGATGCTTCACACCTAAAAGTACGTGTGTTGATTGGGTGGTCTCGAACATGCGTCCAGAACGTATGCTTTTGGCACGTGTTTACATGCGTGCAGGCGCCATGAAGGGGTGTCGAGAAGTTTGCCCGTGTGAAGTGGTGGGGTCGAATTTGCGTCTGGCACGCGTGCATGCGTCTCGCCGGGGGAGAGGTCGAAGATGTGGCCAGCAGAGTTCCCTTACATAGACATACGCGCGCAGAGGGGATGAGATCGAAGGGACGTCTGGCACGTGCGCATCCGAAACGCGTGTTCGAATGTGTAGGCGCCAGAGGGGGTGTCAAACATGCGGCCGGCGGCTTCTTCACGCGTGGAGAGGAACACGTGCGCGGAGGGAGGGTGCCAAACAAGCGCATGGCGTTTGTGCGCTCTTGAAAGCATGTCAGGACAGCTTGCAAGCTCGAGAAGACAGCTCGAAAGCGTTCAGGAAAGGATTCAGGCCACAACGGCAAGGTCGCATGCAAGTCAGTCCTAATTGCGAAGTATCCCTCATACGTTTTATGACCCGCGTTGTCAATTAGAGCAAAAGCTTCACCATCCGGCACGTGCTTTCACACGTGTTGGCGCCCAGGAGGGTGTCAAACACCCGGCCGGCGGATGCTTCGTACGTGCAACTAGTCACGGGCGCGCAGGGTATGAGGGTCGAACCGGCGTCTGGCATGTGTGCGTTTCCCACGTGTTTTCATTAGTGAGGGGGCCGTCTACAGGAAGGGGGGGCCACCCAAAAACGCTAACAGCCAGGCCGGGGGGCACAACTAAAATGTAATATTCAAAATTACCTTTTTGTCCGAAGGCATGGTTTGGGAAATCCAGAATTATGGTTTGTTGTTGTTTTTGTCCTGAAGGGCTGTGTGTGCTTGAATTCAGAAATCGTGATTTTATTGTGGGACGGCTTCGCCTCTTTCGCCCTTCTGGAAGTGTTGTTGCACGATGAACGCCACGTGCGAAACATGTTTGTGGGGAGTTCCGTGTGTAGTTTCATTCGCGGTTGATCGCGTAGTTGGTTTCGTTACTGTTCGTATCCATCACGCTCCACCCAGCACTAGTACCCAGGCGAAATGCCTTGATCAGGGAAGTGCGGGGACATTCCGTGTAACGAAGAGTAATTGATGGGGAAGCCGTCAAACTGAATTTCGCGGGTCAGCTTGGGCACGCCCGGGTGTGAATGCACATTCGCGGCCCTTGCCGAAACAGGCAGGGCGCAGAAGAATGATGAGGAGGCGGGGGAGGGGGAGGCGGGGGAGGAACACGAGGAGGACGAGGACTAAAAGGAAGAAGGGGGGAGCGACGGGAGTAGCAGGAAAGGGGCGAGCAGAAGTATGATGACATTGAATGCGTAAGCTTCGGGGGGGGGAGGAAGAGGAGGAGGATGAGAAGGAGGAGGGGGATGAGGAGGAGGAGGAGGAAAGGAGGAGGAGGAGGATTGGGCGAGGAAGAGGAGGAGGAGGAGGAGGAGGAGGAGGACGAGGACGATCGTACAACGCGCACGCGCGCGTGCGCGCGAGGTGTGATTTCTGCATTGTTCTCAGCGGTCTGGCAACGAAGGGGCGTGGCAACGAAGGGGTTCTTGGGCGGTGACCGAATGGGTGTTCCAGGTAGCGCGGGGCTGCAGCGCGCCAGCCAAGTGGCTCAGCGCGCAACGCGCCCGCGCGCGCGCGCGCCGGCGCGAGCTGCGAATTCTGTATCATTTATAATAGAAGTGCCGCAATGTTGGCATGGAAGCTCAAGTGGTCCCCTAGCGGAGCCGATTGGATTTCCGATTTACCATGGGTTTGCGGCGCGTCGGCGAAGTGGCTCAGCGCGCAACGCGCCCGCGCGCGCGCGCGGGCGCGAGCTGTGAATTCTGTGTCATCCACGAAAGAAAGGCAGTCGCGCTGTCCTGGAAACTAAAGTGGCCCCCCAGCGGTGACCGACTGGATTGTCAAATTGACATGGGGATGTAGCATGTCGGCCAAGTGGCTCAGCGCACAAGTGGCCCGCGCGCGCGGGAGCGAGCCGCCACTCTGCGTTATCCAGAACAGAAGGGCCGCCATGGTGGCTTGGGAGTTCAAGCGGCCCCTCAGCGGTGGCCGATTTCTTTTTCCAATTTAACGTGGGCTTCTAGCATGTCGGCCAAGTGTCTCAGCGCACAGCGCGCCCACGCGCGCGCGCGCGAGCTGTGAGTTCTACCCGCAATAGCAGGGCCGCCATGCTGGCCTGGGAAATCAAGCGGCCCATTAGCAGTGACCGATTGAATATCTGAGATAGCTCGAGTTTGTAGCGTTTTGGTTAAATGGTTCAGCGTACAACGGGCCCACGCGCGCGCGCGCGCCCGCTTGCGCTCGCGCGCGCGAGCTGTGAATTCTGCATCACCAACAATAGAATGGCCGCCATGTTTGCTTAGAAACTTGAGTGGCCCCTAAGCAGTAACCGACGGACTTCCAAGTTGGCAAAAGGTCGTAGCATGCCGATTAAGTTGTGCAGCGTACAGAGCGCCCGCGCCTGCGCGCGCAGGCGCGAGCTGTGAACCCTGTATTCTCCGCAATGCAAATGCCGCCACGTTGGCCTGAGAACTCAAGTGGCCCCTTAGCGGTGGCCGATGGTATTTTTCATGTTTAACATGGGTTTGTAGCATGTCGGCCAAGTTGCCCAGCGTACAAGGCGCCTCGCGCGCGCGCCCGCGCGCGCGCGCGAGTTGTGAATTGTCGTGCTACCCGCAGTAGAAGGGCCGCCATGTTGGCCTGCATACTCAAGTAGCCCCTTTGCGGTGGCTTCCAGCATGTCAGCCAAGTGGCTCAGCGCGCAACGCGCCCGCGCGCGCGCGCGGGCGCGAGCTGCGAACCCTGATCCAATGTAGAAGGGCCGCCGTGTTGGCTTGGAACCCCGGATTGATTTGCAGGTTAGCACTGGTTTGTGGCACGTTGGCCAAGTGGTCCAGCGCTCAACGCACCCACCCGCGCGCGCGCGAGTTGCGACTTCTGGATCACTTGGTTACCCATAATAGAAGGGCCGCCACGATTGCCTGGAAACTGAAGTGCGATCCTATCGTTGGCCGATTCGATTTCCGAGTAACCATGAGTTCGCAGCGTGCCGATTAAGCTGTAAATTCTTTATTGCACGCAATAGACTGGCCGTCATGTTGGCCTGGAAGCCATAGTGGCCCCTTAGCGGTGGCAGATTGG